CCATGTACTCTGTCACCTCAGGTGCCCTAATGGGTACTGCAGGGTAACCAGAGATGCCCGTTTTCCTGAGCCTGGAGGAGAATCCCCAAATTCTTCCCCGTGTGAATGCAGATACAACAGTTGACATCAGAGGCTGTCTGCAGAGCTGTGAATGCACAAGATCTTGAAAACAAATTCTGTCGCAGTGTATATTTTCCTGATGGGATTTAATTTTTTTTTTTCTTTTTTGAAGACAGAATGGCCTGGGTTCCTGATCTGTTTGTTTGCTCGCAGCATAGAGGTCTTCAGTATGTATTGCAGGATGAATTGAAAGGGTAAAAGTATAAAGCTGCAAGAGGAGAGGTGGTTTTGGTTATTTTTTTTTTTTTTTTCCTGTGGTCTGGGACAACTCTTTGCTGCTTAGTCCCTTGCCTGGGACTTTCTGTGCACACAGGTTGAATACCTGTACCCTTCCTCATCCAGCTAAGGTGGCACCACCCCTCCTAGAACCAGCTGCAGTCATGCTGGTGTAACTCATTCTGGGTTTAGGATCAACCAGACCATATTAAGCATCTCCCTGAAGACTGTATCATTAACAAAACCATCAACGAGGGGTGGGCCAGGCTTGCCATTTTAGGGTGGAAGTGAGGTAATTAAATGTGGTTAGGGCTGTGTCATCTGCCTTTACCATATGCTAATCAGGTTGAATTAGTGCGATGTGAGGACCGATCCTTAAGGTGATTCATCTAGCCAAGGCTGAAGACAGCATGGACGAGCCCTGCTGGACGTTACGGTTAATGTGATACTTCACACCTCTGAGTCTCACTCTGGCCGAGGCTGTGGTGTCTCACGTTGCCACCCTCTCGCTTGAATCCCTCAGTAAAACACACTTCCATTATATTTTTTTCTGTGGTAGTCCAGCATACCCACTAATCCTCTCTCTCCATAAAAGAGGATTAAAACTGGGAACATTTGCACCTTAATGCAGCCAGCTAGGGCTGCGCTCTGTCTTTTAGGTGGTAATCCTGTTGGGGCGAGGGCTGTGCCATTGTGCAGTGCCAGGAACGCTGTCGGCGATCAGCAAATAGCAGCGCTCTCGGCAGTTGGCTTATTGGGTTAGTAATTCTTAAAAGACCTCTTTGCGTGTTAATTCAATAATTTATATCGTCTAGAGATGACAAACTTGTTTCATGTTCTTAAAATGACTTCAGGGCTATGCAAGTTAAAGTAAAATAATTTGAAATTGGGATTTCTGTGTGGTTCTTTACGTAAAATGAAAGGATATGTAAGTTGACAAAGCATTATCTTTGAGAATGCCGTTTATCGTATGTTGTTTCCTAGACTCAGGTCGACTACGCATCCTGCAAAAAAATTTTAGGGAAGAAGGTTCTACTCCAGGTGTTGCTGGTAAGGGAGAGTCACCTCTGCGTGTCGCACCCAAAATGCTTAATGTGAAACCTGCAGAGCTTGGGGGGGGGAAGCACGGGAATGCTAAATGAGAATTCCACCTCGTGGTTTACGATTTTATGGTGTAGTTTGACTTCCAGTTTTGGATTACACTCGCTGGCTGACATGGGCCGGGATGTGGTGGTATGGGTTTCCGAACACTGAACCTGTGCTAACCTTTTTCCTGGAGTCTTCATGCAGAGGATCGATTCTACTGTAGTACTACTTTTTTTTTTTTTTTTTTTTTTTTTAACTTACCTGAATTGCTTAAAATTTGAAAAAAAAGGTGGAGTCTGAAATAAAGCAGAGTCATTCTGCGTGTACATGCCATGCTTCCCTGTGAACTACCATTGCTCTGGCTGAGGCAAGCAACTGAAGAGAAACTTCTTTGGCAGCCAGTCCAGCCCAGATCAGCTGCTGGGGTAATGTAAAAGTGCTTTTTTATTTCCTGGGAGAGCTTCACGTTCTCTCTGATGGATGTGCTGCTTCTGCTCCCTGCTGGCCCGGGCAGGAGGGAGCCCAGGCGTCTGCTCCAGCTCGCCCTGTGCAGCTGGGTGGAATGCTGCTGTGAAATCCTCCCCACGCTCACCGTCGCCTTTGTGCCGAAGCCTGAGAAGAGTCTTCAGGTAGAAACCACCTCATCCTTATGTTCAGACCATCGCTTCCTGCTGGCGTTTGGTGCTAAATACCTGAAGTTAAGCTGCAAAATAGACCCTTTGCAAATTGCGTCATACATCATGAAATGAATGTCCTATCCCATCGCCAAATGGTGGCCTTCAGCAAAAGCTTCAGCAGCAAATAGGAGTTCGTATGCCTAATAAATTTGTGTAAAATCCTATTTGCTTCTTTCCCAGATTTTCTGTGTGTGAAGTTTTTCCTGCGGTGTGATGCGTTTGCTCTTCTATGTGAGATGCTGATAAAAAGAGCGCGTTAATAGAAAGGGGTTTGGTTTTGTCTTCTAGAATCAGTTTTATTTTAAGGCTTTTCATGCCGAGACTGGAAGCATAGGGAATTTTTTTCCATCCTAATTAAAAGGATCATTATACTATGCCACAGGAGGACGCTGTGGAACGAGAGCTGGTTTCTGTAGTTCCCCTTAGTGCTTGAGTTACCGCGTCTCTGCTGACACGAGGCAACTGTCCACGTGCCGCTGTGAGCCAGCGTGAAATAAGATGTTCGCTTCAATCTTGATAGGGGAGGTGTAAACTAGCGTGTCTTATCTCGCCTTTGTGCAGGGTATCAGTTGTTGCTGCTGACATCAGGCAAAGTCTCAAGGCCCGGGAAGGCAGTCCCAGCTCGCACAGCTTCCAGAGTGACACAGGCTTCACCAGAAAAAAGCATTTTTTTTATTGGATTGAGGTGTGGGCTAGCAAATTCTCTTCATGAGCAAGGGAAGACTTTTTCCACAGCCATGGAAAAAATAGGATTTATTAATTTAAATACGCATTCTAAATGAGTTTTTGTAATAATTGAGATATTGATCGATCTTGTCCCTGAGGAATGACATTGTTTCCTTATCAAACCTGCAGTGGTAATGCCCCCTAGGCGTGATTTTATACAAGAATGATATCAAATTTATCCTGAAGGCAAATTAATGAATTTGAGTGCAAATTTGAATTTGAAGCAGTGAGAGATGCCAATGCAACATGAGGGGTGGACATCATGGAAAGTGTGTCTGCTCTCAGGAGTCTGAAACCTCCCGCTAGGGCAGACATGAACATCCTCTTTCTTTTCT